AAAGGCCCCTTGGGGAGTCCGAACTGAATACTTTGGAGAAGTGTGGGAAGAGGGGTTGGGAACCAAGTGCATGCTCTTGGGTCCTGGTTACCTGAAGGAGCGCTTATGTCCATATATGCCCGCCCGCCCCCTGAGATCTGCGGGAGAGGCCCTTCTCTGGGAACCCTCCGTGAAAGAAATTAGGAGGGTAGGTACTCGGAGGAGGGCTTTCTCTGCAGTGGCGCCCAATCTATGGAATGTGCTCCCCAGAGAGGCCCGCCTGGTGCCGTCGTTATTTGTTTTTCAGTGCCTGGTGAAGACTTTTTTATTCAAACGTCATTTTAACTGTTAATACTATTTATTTATTTTATTCTTCGGACAGGACGACTTATTTTATATTGTTAACTTGTTTTATATTTTTATTGTATAATATTTTAATTGATATATTTGTGAGCCGCCCTGAGGCTTCGGCGAATGGGCGGCATAGAAATTTTCTAAATAAAATAAATAATAAAAATAAATCTTGTTCGCATGGGAAGTCAACTGCAGCTCCACTTGTAGCATATCACAGAAGAGCAGTGCTTTGGCTATTTCATGCATAAAATGCAGGGGGGCAGGGTATTCTCCTTGCAGGGCAGGAAACTGGGCTGCAGGGAATTCTAGGATATCTCCACATCACTTCAAGTGATATGAAGCTGAGAGAGGAAGAGAGATTGCTCCTAAATTCTTGAAAGAAAGGGCTCTTGGGTTCATTGGAATGAAAGGAACACAGGCATTGTGTAGTAGACAGAGAAGGGGTTGGGAACCTGTGGTCTCCCACAGGTTGGTGGGCTACGGTTATCATTGTTTATGCCATGGTGCCTAGGGCTGATGGGATCTGATGTCCAACAGCATGTAGACAGTCATAGCTTCTGGTTTACGGTGTCCACTTAGGACTGGTGAGATCGCTAGTCAATTCCTTCTGCAACCGTAAAAATCCCCAAGAAATTTTGGACTGCTTGTTCTTTCTATCTCTTCCTCTCTGCAATCTCATGAGGTTTTGTGAGATAAAACTGAGTGGTTAGTGGTTATTTGAGTGGTGAGATAAAACTGAGTGGATAAAATTGAAAGGAACCCCTGGAGAGGTTCGCCTGGCGCCAACATTATATGCTTTTTGGCACCAGGTCAAAACCTTATTTACCCAATATTTTAAAGTTTACATTTTTGATCTGATTTTATTCATCCTCAGTCGTATTTTACCTTGTATTTATTGGACATTTATCACACTGTAAGCTGTCCAGAGGGACAATTTGTATAGGACAGGATAAAAATATCCTAATAAATAAAATAGATTTTTAAAAAAGTTAACTGGAGGAAAAGGGAGTGAATGAATGAATGAATGAATGAATGAATGAATGAATGAATGATGGGGGCAAGAATTTATTGGGTTGGCTTCCGACTGTTTAAAAGGCTAACTTAAGACATAGTAGTAGCTATTTAACTCTGTCCTCCTATGCCCTTTCCCTGTAATAACTGCAAATAACTCCATGGAGGCAACGGCTGGGGAAGCAGTTTCTCATGATGTTCGTTTTCTTAGGAAGCTAATAGCACTGTAAAAGCAGAGAATTGCAGGGTGAGAAGAATGCAATTGATTCAGAACAGAGCAAAGGGGAAAAGGATTTAACAGTCTCTCTCCACCATTTTCCAAAGCCATCTGGGACTCTTCATGAGTAAAAACAAAAGCAGTCCCTAGAGGAGAACTGCTTTGGTCCTAACACTTATATTTTTCAGTGATGTGCATAATTATTATTACATTGTAGATAGATTGTTAATGTTTTTTCAAAGGCTGTGTGTGTGCATAGTTTTGGAAATCCGTGCAAGAAATGCATACAATTGATTGGAGCCAGACTGAGTCATACTTAAGCTAGACCCATTAAATTCACTGGGACAAGTTAGTCATTACTAAGCTACATAAACTGCATCGATTTCAGTTGGTCTACTTAAGTATGACCAAGTTTAGTTCCAAAACAATTAAATACATTACCATAAATCAATAGACGTTTTTTCTTCTCTAATGCAGATATGGGATGCTGAGACTGCTTCCAAGATCATGGACATCCCGGAAGACTTCCGGGGTCACTCACAGGTTAAAGTCCCCTTTCTGAGCCAACTTCTCTCAAGTTCCAGGTCCTGCTTAAACTAAGCTTCTCAGGCCACAGTTTCAGGCCACAGCTTTGCATGGGGAGAGACAGCCATAAAAATTACTAGATGCATGGAGGAGACCCTTTGCTTTCCTTCCTTTTTACTACTAATCCCCCTGGATACCCAAGCCCAAGAGCCAAGATGGGTGCCATTTTCTATCTGTCCGCTTCTCCGACCCTCCCTCCCAGTGTGTGTCGGTTCACTTACTTGAACTGCGCTGGATACACACCGTGGTTTGCATTGCATTGCATTTGTGGAAGGCCAGCAGGGGACAGTTGGGCTGTAATGCTCTCCTTTGTGGCTCCAGTCAGCTCCATGCTTCTTTTCTTTCTTCTTTCTCAGATTTACACTTGCCACTTCCTTGGCCTTGACTATATCATTGCTGGTGGGAGTCGGAACAACTTATGTCGGCTGATTGACAGGAGAATCCTCATGGTATGCTTGCTTAATTGTGATTGCTGGGAAAGGTTGTATGGATTTTGTCAAGATTTGATTGATTGATTGATTGATTGATCGGTGCTTTTTTGTCCCATCTTTGACAGAACTGGATTCTGTGCAGAGATATTTCTAAGTATTTGCACGAATTTGTGCTTCTGAAAAGGCACAAATGCCTCTCAAAATACATAAATCCCAGCAAAATACATTTCTGCACACTTGATGCTCGGGAGAAATGCACATTTTCAGGATGTTGCAATTTTGCATACTTTTCTACAACTAAGTTTTTGTAAAATTATGGAAAGTCAAACAAATGGTCTTCAAGTCTGCAGAATGCATGTGGCTCCAGGGAAGCCAGATGGCCATGTTACTTGCAGTTGGTTTCATAGACATCAGAACTTGTTTGGATCTGTTGGAATTATCTCCAACATTCCTACTTGTGGGAAGGGGTGGTGAGTCAGTAGCAAAGAAGGAGTATCGCAGTTTGCAATATTACTGAAATGGGGGCATCTCTCTGTGCCCCCCTCCCCTTCTGCTCTGGACTCCCAGGATATCTGTTGGACAGAAAGGATCACATTTCTCCTTGATGATGCTTCAGTTTCCATCTTAGAAACTAATCTTTGTCCAGATATGGAAAATGTGCCCATTCATCACTACTAGGCTGTGTCATTGGTAGAGACCCTTTTACAGCTGTTGCTGGACTGCAGTTCCCATCATGCCGTGTCATTGACCATGCTGACTGGGGCAAATGGGAACCAGAGTTCAACAGCCACAGAAAGGGAACAGGTTTCATCACCTCTGGATTAGAGCATCAGCTGTTAGCAGTGTACCTCTGAATATCAGAGACTGGGGATAAGAGATGGGGGATAAGTTGTTGTTATTACATACCCAAGAGCTTCTGTTTATCAGCATTTGTCTGGCCCCCGGTGAGAACAGAATACTCTGCTAAGTGGGCTTTGAATTTCCTTATGTTCTCGAGTTGAAGGAGTTAAATTATAGGATGAAGGGCTGGTTTATGAAGAGAAGATGAAGAAGGTTGGGGTGGAGGAAGGAGCGATGTGAGAATTACAGTCTTTAGCCTTCTCTGAGTGTTCTTGCCATTTTCCCACCAGAGCACCGGAGTACTGAATGACCTGCCAGGGGGTGTCTACAGTACCCACATAAGTTCTCGCGGGGTCCTAGCCGCCACGTCCAACAACCTCATGTACCTTGCACAGACTCCAGTGAGACCTTGAGCGCTTTACGTTGGCACTCTGCACACCAAGGAGAGTACCCTTCCGATGCTTCCCATCACGCTCCACTTCTGATCACTCTCTACCAGCCCGGCTGTGGATTTCCTGGCATCCTGCCAAAAGGCTCCCATCATGCTCTGCTGCTTGGGGATGAGCCAATGTACCTGCTGCCTTCTGATAATTCTATGTGGACAAAGGGAATCATGGTCTGCCATCAGGGACGCAAGCCTGTTTGGATGTGGACAATCCCTGCATGCCCTTCTCATCATGTTCTGCCGCTGATACACCCTGCCAAGCCTGTCACCTCCCTCCCCATCACGGTGTGCTCCCATGGATCCCTTCCCGTCTTGATCTGATGCCACTTTTGCCATGAGCTCCCCTTCTCAGACAATGTTCCACCACCAGGTGCTGTTCGGGGATTGTGGCCAACCCCACCACCCTCCATCACTGCAGTCGCTTTCCCCGCATCCTCTGCCTCAGCCAATCCCATCACGCTTCATCCTTTCAGATCTGTGGTCTCAATGACCATTGCTGTTCAGTACATGATAACTGGCAGGGGCTGTTCCCAGAGCACTCTGGGATTTGAAACATTTCCCATAATTCCCTACTGTAAGGAATCATGACAACCTAACATAAGAGGCAATCCCATCACCCTCTGCCGCCAGAATTGCTTTCTAATCAAACGTTTGGAAGGGTAGCCCTTTATATGACTTTACCATCCCGGGCCAGGAGTTAACATAAGTACCTTTCTCTCTTTCTCCCTCTCTGTCCCTCTCCATTCCACGCATCCCAGCTTGGCTCCCTTGAAACACTGCCTTGGTGCCAAATTAAACCATCTTGGCTGGGCTTCCGTGTGTGTGTTCAAGACTACTGGGTTCTTTGCGGGAGGAGTAGCATTAGAAATATCGGAGTCGAGCAACTGTGAGCTACGTCTGAAAGGATTCTTTGAAAGTGCTGGGGAAGTCAGTCCCAGAAAGTATTCTTGCTCCCAGTTGAGGCAATAATTAAAAAGAGTTCCTCTGGGCATGTGCAGAATGCATTTCCCACACCATTCATTAATCTTAGCATCCCCCCCATGCCTTTGGAATTTAGGAGAAAGTTTCTGGGGGAAAGGTACAATCCCCTTACGATATATTTCAATTTCCCTCCTGCAACCCTGAGACAAAGGCAGAATTGCCAACAGATTTTTTATTCTGCAAAAGCAGCTTTCAAACTCTTATGATTCAGCCACTTCTCCTTGTCTCAGACATCTGAGACATAAGCCTGGGACTCTAGCTCTGTCCCCAAGCAAGATGATGGAGTCTGTCCGCAGCGGAGATCATCCTGTCCCGGTACTCCAGCTCCATGTGGTTTCCTTCTGGGACCCCTCCAAATCCGTGAGCCAGGCCCCAGCAGCATGCGGCGATCACCCCTGTGGAGTCGCTGTCTCCTGTGGGGCAGGGAGACACATGCAGAAGCAAGTCAGATGCAGCTAGCCTCGGGCTGGAACACGCCACTGGGACTGAGGTGCGGGGGGGGGAGCTTTGCCTCTTGACTCACCCCCATGGAACATGGCACGGCTGCACAGCTCCTCCCAGCTGTCCCCTGCGGCCAGCAGAGCATCGTAGGCGATCATGGGGGCATCATGCCCGCTCCGCCCAGCCCACCCGTCCAGGCTGAAGCTCTTGTAGATGACGTCACGCTCAGCAGGACCGTAGGCGGGAGGAAAATGCGCAGGGCCGTGGCCGTCAGCAAGGCCACGCTCCGAGAGATACCTGAATGCAGGACATGGGTGCGGGGAGGAGAGAGAAAGATTCCCCAGTGAAAACCTGCACAGCCCTCGAGGCTCATAGAGGCTAGAGCAAGGGGGGCCAACCTGAGGCTTGGCGGCTGCATGCGGCCCCTTGAGTTGATTTCGCGGCTCACGGCTTGCTGCTGCAGGTGCCCACGGGCACCCACTTGCCACTAGCCCCCCACGGCCAGTGCCCATGGGCGCCTCCTTGCTGCTTGCTGCCCACTTGCAGCTCTCAGGCAGCTGACATTTACCGTACGCGGCTCTTCCATTGAGCCACCACGGGGCAAGGGTGTCAGATTAGAACATGGGAAGCCCAGGTTTAAATCCCCCCAGCCAAAAAACTCACTGGGTGATCTTGGGCCCATCATTCCCCCCCCCCCCCGATTTATATCCTGCCTTTTTCCTACAAAGGGCTCAAGGCAGCTTACATCATTCTCCTCCTCCATCTTATCCCCACAACAACAACCCTGTGAGGTAGGTTGGGCTGAGAGTCTGTGACTGGCCCAAAGTCATCCAGTTGGCTCCATGGCAGAGCAGGGACTCGAACCCAGATCGTCTGAGTCCCAGTCCCGCGCTCTTAACCACGACGCCACACTGGCTCTCCTCATTTCCTCTCATCACTATCCAGGGTGGTTGTGAGTATAAAAAGACAGGGAAGGACCACATGCACTGCCCTGAGGTGCTCAAAAGGGGAGATTAAAATGTAATAAAATAAAGAAAGTTGCCTCCTTTGCATGACACTCCATTACATGAAAACCTTTCCTGGGACCTTACAGTTCAAGCCTGCCAGAAGTCCATCACCAGAGGTGAGATGGTGGTGAGATTCACTTTACACCAGAGCTATTTTTTAAAATTAAGTTTTGGGTTTTGCGGCTTTGCTTCAAATAAACCAACCACATGTTAAATACTGTCTTCAGGTATTTGCTGAAGTAGTTGCTAATGAGCGAAAATTCAACCCTCCAATTCATCTTTTATTAAAAGCTTCCTAATTCAATTTTGCTCATCAAATGGGGACATATAATATTGCCTGAGGTGGGGCAAAAAGGATTCAGATTATTGTAAATATTATGATAATATAAATCAGTTTAATATAACTTCTGGCAAGGACATGTAAATTATTGTCCCAAGATGTTCAGGATAGAATATACTATCACGCACACCACTTTAAGTGGTGTGTGTGATAGTATACTACATGGAATATACTATCACACACCACTTCAGAACAATCCTGTGAATTAGGTTAGCCTGAGAAAGAAAGAGTGCCTATTCCAAAGTCTCCCAGATTGGCCAATGGCTAAGAGGGCAGACCTGACCACTGCGCACACCCAATCCCCCACGGATTCTGGCTGATAAGCATAGTAATAATCTGAATTAGCAATTTTCTAGATCTCATGGTGAAAAGATGCATTGGAAACCAGAGCCTGAAAAGCCATATTTACATTCTTAGAACTTTGATCACCTCTTATTACGCCATTTCTTCTCTCCCAAATCTGTCTTCTCTGACCCAGAGTACTTACCACTCCCATTTCTCTCGGAAATAGCCCCAGGCTGCCAAGTTGGGCTCAGTTTCAGCTGCAGCTCTCTGAACATACTCCAAAGCAACAGAGAGGGTCTTGAGCAATCCTGACCCCCAGGACTCAAGGGGAAGGCCCTGGACCGCATAAGCTGTGAAGAGGGCAGAGGCCAGGGCCCCCAGATATCCTGCAGGGAGGAGTGGGGTAAAATCAGCATCCTTCAAGGATGGATGTTAGCCTATTATATCCTCACATGGCAACTGCAAAGTATATTAGGTTAAGCTAACGGTTATCCTGGACTTCCAAGGAACCAGGTGAACGGTGAAGCTAGAATTGCAGGAAAGGCACCTCCCATGACCATTTTCTTCCTTGCCTTCAGGAAGCTTCATCAACACCTCCAGCAGAAAAAGCTGTTAAAGGGATTGTGTTACTTCAAACTGCAGCAGGGCTGTGCCGCTTCCAAATGCTGCCCTATGTGAGAAACCCTCCACAAAGAGAAAGCCGACACACCAGAGCGAAAAGGTTCTGCCCAACTCTTCCTGCTGTACTAGATTGAACGTGTAGGGCACGTTAACCATGGGAGCCTTCCAAACTAGGCTCCAGCACCTGCAGTACAAGCGCAGCAAGCTATTCTGCCATCTCGTTCTGCCGCGTGGTAGAGACCAGACCCAAAGCCACCAGCACTGCCTACCTCACATACAAGGATGCCGTCTCAGCCCTGTCTCTCCAGCCCCGGAAAGCATCAAATAATGAGGTTGCTGACCCTCCCTCCCCTTTACCTGTTGGGTGGTGATGAGTCATCCTTCCACTTTCTATGCTGACCTGGACCAAGTTGCTGAGATCCGAGGGACGAGGGTACCTAAGGAGACGTTGGAGCCAGGATGACGATGATGTAAGCCGACTCAGGCCGTCAGCCCTCCTTGCCTTGCCCATCCTTGTCTCTCACCACATACATTACCTAAGCCCGATGCACATGGACCGCATGGCTGCCCCACAGCCCGTGGCTCCGGGGTTGAAGGGAATGCGATAGCCACCGGGCTCCCCTGGGCGCAATTGTGACGTCCCTGCAGGTAGGAGAAAAAGAAAGACCCCCGGGGATGCCCAAGGGCCAAACTCCAGCAGTAGCTCTTCAGCTTCATCTAGTGGATCCTGATGTTTGTTTTATTTTGACAAAACAAAGCTACTAAAGACTGTAATCAAAGATAAAAGACATGTGAGTTGGGAAGATGGGCTTATTAATCTTTTCCCCTTCTGCTAAAAATTTGCACCAAGTTTTGATTGCATTAATTTTCTTCCTGTCAGCTTTCCTCACGGTCCAGCTTTCACATCCAGACATTGTGACTGGGAATGCAGTAGATTCTACTCCACAGTGACAGGAGAAGTAGCAGCCATTCCATATTCTCTTGCATGAAGTGAGAAAGAGAGATGGGATCAAGGGAAAAGAAGAAGAAATACCTTGGGGTGGAGGAAAAGACTCCTTACTTGCAAGTGGGAACAACATATGCCTTCCTAGATTGCATATCCGAGGTACTAACCCTTCCCTCTCCCCACATATACATCGCAGACTCTGCTTCATAACCTGGAAAGCATCACTGAGCCTCAAGTGTTTGATTCCCACATAAAAGGGTTGCTAGCACCTGCAGAAGGGATCTCTGAGGCACATTACCCAGAATGCTTGTGGGCCCAGGTTTCCTCCCCTCCATGTCTTTCATGGCGTCAACATAGCGCCTGGCCAGCTCCTGGAACAGTGGCTCCCCAGCCTCTCCTGTGAAGAATACATAGAACATAAATAAAAATATTGTTTCCTTAAAAAAATTTCCTGCCCCTTATAAAGCCTTTTGCAGCTGCCTTCCTCCCATCCTGGCCACTTCAATCCTTTCACGACATCAGGTGCCATCTTGAAGCAAACAGTCACGCTGGTCCTAAGGCTTTTCTATAGTAGGTCTTTAATGTGTGCTTGTGATTCCAGACTCACAGAAGCTTACATGCCTATGTCATCATCTGGGGCCTCTCCTATGTTTCCAGCCAGCTGTGTGGCTTTCATAGAATGGGACAATGCAGCATTTTCCCAAATGATGCCGTAATTTTCTACAGAGGCCTTGGGTACAGTCTAAATTCTGGTCCATGCCACAGTGTTACCTTCAGTGGAGGAAACAGGAGTGGGAAAAGATGTTCTTTCTTCCCAGGGAAAATGGAAGAGACAGCCTCAGTAAAGTACCAAGTGAAATGTCTAACACAGGGAAGACCTTCATGTGTCCAGTATTTCTTATCCCTCCCAGGATTTCCAGATCTTTCACCCAAGTGGATCTTTCGTCCTGGGCCTCCGGCCAGGCTTGCTTCATCTGGCAAGGATTGCTGTTCAGCCCTCGCTTTCCAAACCTCGCTTTTCTGAAACGAACCCTGCCCTGGAAAACACCCCTACCACTAATATAGGGCTAAATAAAAAATTTCAACCTAAATTAAAAAAAAAATTCAAACTACTATAGGGCTAAAATACCATTGAAAAGAGGGTGATTTTGAAAAATCCTTCTTTGAACAGCTTTCTCTGCATTGCTCATCATTTCTGCCCATTCTCAACACATTCCAACCATCAAAACCATGCTGGGACACCTCGTTTTTCTAATGCTATCCCTACCCTGGTGCACACCCCTAACCCTAATATAGGGGTCAAGTTCCATGGAAAATGGGCGATTTTCAAAAAGCCCTCCTTGAGTACCTTTTTCTGCGCAGCTCATCATTTCTGCCCATTCTCAACACATTCCAACCATCAAAACCATGCCGGGCCACCTCGTTTTTCTAACCCTATCCCTACACTGGTGCACACCCCTAACCCTAATATAGGGGTCAAGTTCCATGGAAAATGGGCGATTTTCAAAAAGCCCTCCTTGAGTACCTTTTTCTGCGCAGCTCATCATTTCTGCCCATTCTCAACACAGTCCAACCATCAAAACCATGCCGGGACACCTCGTTTTCCTAACCCTAACCCTACCCTGGTGCACACCCCTAACCCTAAGATAGGGGTCAAGTTCCATGGAAAAGTGGGCGATTTTCATAAAGCCCTCCTAGAGTACCTTTTTCTGCGCAGCTCATCATTTCTGCCCTTTCTCAACACATTCCAACCAACAAAACCATGCCAGGACACCTCGTTTTCCTAACCCTAACCCTACCCTGGTGCACAGCCCTAACCCT